TCATATTTCGATATGCCTTGCACGCGGAACCAGGTTGTAAATTTGCATGTGAGATGATTTTTCAATTATCAACAAATGATGATAATATGGAGCTGGTTCCGCGTGCAAGGCATAGTGAAAAATTCGTTTTTGTATACCCTCTCATGGACATTTTTCCATAGGCCTAATGCAAATATTGGGTAAAAGTGATGTGAAGGACAGTCAGAATTTCGCACACAAGGTGTCATTTTTCTCAGCAAATCATGATGGTTCTTTAGATTTAGAATATCGACCTACGTTATGGCATAAATAAAATTGTATTTATCATGGATTTTTTTTGTGCAAAATCATGGGCAGCTGAGGCCTCTTATCGCAATACATCCTTTAATCCCAGATTAGAAGTGAATCGAGTTATAAAATGAATCCACACATGTTATTCACAATGGTTCAATAGTCCAAAATACTGTAAATTCAGAAACTATTGCGTGCATTTATTATTGCGATTTTTGTTGAAAGGACAAAAATGCGAGATTAATTATTGCGATTGCAGGAAAATCTGCATACAGTTATTTATATCAGATATCAGAATGCGAGTTCTTATTATTGCGATACTCACTCAATCGCATTATTCGCATTAATAAAAACCTCGCAATAATTTCTGAATCTACAGTAAATAGAACAAGATTTCGATACTAATTTGGGTGCAAAAAGGTTTTTCTGAAAATAACAACTTTGTTTACATATGACGGGAACATTTTGTGTACAATTCGGCTATTTTACTCACCTATAGGTTTTTCTAAGTAAAATAAATCGTGACCTCCGTGGCATAAACTTGGTCAATACTATAAGGGCTGGTATCCGGCTAGATAAATTTTCATGTGGTTGTGTCGCACAAGTCAGGTGCTACGGTCATGGGCAAAAGCCGATTTTTAGTGAAATGCTTTACAATTTGTCCGACATCGGGTCCATCCAAAATTTACATGTGGCTTCCTTTCAACATATTATTAACATTACCGTCGTCGTCAGACTTTTTGTTTTATCTTTAATGCTTTAAACGATATCAGTTTTACTATTTGTTAAAATATAAAACCCTCCATTCTTGTCAATGGGGAAAAAAGAACACTCGGTAAAAGTCTCTTGAAGAAATTAAAGAACATCGGCTACATACTGTCAAGATCAATGAAAATGTCATACAGCACTATCATTTACATAGTTAATTATACTAGACCATTCTTTAATGCCTAATAGTACGGCTTGTTAAGAACTTGCTGGGTCTGTGGGACCAGCAAGTTAAAAAAAGCCGTCAGACGCCAGAGCAATCTCGGAATATAAAAAAATGTGCATAGTTCTTTCAGAATATCAAACGATATGCCTAGTGCCTTAATGCTATTTTACTCCTGCAGATGGAAATTTACAACATCAATAAACATAGATATAAGAAGATGTGGTATGAGTGCCAATGAGACAACTCTCCATCTAAGTCAAAATTTATAAAAGTAAACCATTATAGGTCACAGTACGGTCTTCAACACGGAGCCTTGGCTCACACCGAACAGCAAGCTATAAAGGGCCCCAAAAATGACTAGTGTAAAACCATTCAAACGGGAAAACCAACGGTCTAATCTATATAAAAAACGAGAAACGAGAAACACCCACGAACCACACCAACAAACGACAACCACCGAACACCAGACCCCCGACCCAGGATAGGCGCAAACAAACGCAGCGGGCCCAATGTATACACATCAATACACATAATACTTATATTTAACCCACACTCACACACATGTGCATTAATGCAGAATACCATGTCTTCAGGAGTGTTTATACACTTTACCTAACACATGTAAAGTCCATTAAGTGGAAGAGTATTACAAAAAAGGTTTTCGTTTTGATATTCGTGCAATATTTGTCACTGAAAGTTTAGCAAAAAAACAAATTTGGTTTAAAGAAAATAACCAAAAAACATTTTTTCTAAAATAAAAAATTTAGATGTAGATGCATGTCTAGATTTACCATTGTGATCACGTGCATGTCAACATCGTAATTGGGAGATCTTCAAATTCGGATCTTTACTTACAATTTGAAAGATAATCATTTTTCAAATACAAACTGGCAACTGATTTTCTCTGGATATCTCGATGCCTTCCCCAAAATAAAGTGGTTACCATGACAAAGCAGAGACTGGTGATAGTGGCATTCAACACACACAATCAAATCATTTTTTTTCAAACTTGTTCTAGTCGTTTACCTATTTATGATCATCATTAGCTAAGAATATATACCATACTGAAATAAATGCATGTGATGAAAGAATTGACATTTAAGTAAAACAAAAACGGGTGGACGAATAGAAAAAGAAACTGCAATCTTACTCTGAATTTTATTGGATCTCCAAATGTTAACTCTTACCCGAGTTTATACTCTAAATCTAAGTTTAATTCGAAGGCTTGCTCTTACTCAAACTAATACTCGAACTCGAAGTAAAACTCAAACTTTACCTTAATTTTCAACTCAAAATTGAGCTTAAACTCTAACTCGATGGCTAGCCATACTCTCATTTGTCAGCTGATAAATTAACTTGAAGTAACTAGAATAACTAAACATGTACAACATAAAATGGTACAAGAAAAAAAATAACCGTTTATTACAAAGCAATTTTTTGTTTGAACATGGCGATGTGTTTTTTATTGTCAGTCTTCATGCATATTTATTATACATCCTAGTAACAGTAAAAGGTTCAATACACAGGCGATGGACATGTAACAGATTACATACAATAAAAATGAAAAGATGTATGAAAAATGGGTTCAAGATGATGGGACAAAACAAAAATTGTTACCACCGATTGAATACATTATGGTGAGTTGTGCAAGTTTTGACTAGGACCAATTTAAAGACGGAAATCATGAAAAATGAATTGTTATAAGGTATAAGTTATATTTGACTTTGCTTGCATCTAAAGCGGAACATTTTTTTTTAAATTTTTTTTTTTATTTTATAAGCAACTTAATAGAGCGCCATTTCTATATTTTGGAATAACATAATCCATTGTTTATTGATGACGTCATATCTCGAAAGCAACATCGATGACCCCAATTTGTTTTTTCCTTAAAAATTTTGCAATAAAGAAGATCTATCTGCACGGCAAATTGTAATGAATTATTGACATGATTAAAAGCAGTTGAAATAGTGTGATTTTACATTAAGACATATATATAGTAATTGATTGATTGCATTACTCGTAAGTGACCACCAATGGACCAGGTCAACCTCTAGTTTAACGTCACGTCATTCCAATCAATTAGGCAACGAAATTTGCAAGACAGTATAACAGCTACAACGTCAGTTTCTTACCAAGTCTATGGATGTAATGGCAGGCACATTTACGTCCGCAATGTTTCTCGTATGCTAAAATGCCACAGAATCCACTGTAGAATTGTTATAAAGGTTTTCAGTGTATACCACTTAACTGCAAACACAGACTGTAATGGGTGAAAATTAGCAAAATCAGAAGGGAAAAAACTTGACTGAAAACATTCCCATAAGAACGGGTTAACCTTTCTGTCAATCATTAATGCATTTTCAGCAGCTTTCTGTGACTTTGACGGTTGACACGACCAATAATAAAGAGGAACCCATGATTTTAGTGCATACCACATGATTTAAACGCTAATCGTGACGTAATAAATTCAACTTTCAAACTTCAAACTTACCTTAGACGATCGTATAGTGCTTTCTTTTTATAAGGTCATTCAACTTTCACCTCACTCTTTTCTTTAAAAGGTTTTCATTCTTCATTTATTTAAATCTTATTGTTACAGTTTTTATACTATTTGTATGGGAGTAGGTTTTACGTGGTATCTAGATAATGGTCTTCTCCACTGATTTTATAGTTGTTTTGAATGCATATTTAAAATGTACATTTGAAGTAGGTTCTTTTTTGTTCTTATCACTGCAGTCAATTTTCAAAATCATTTTCATGTATTTTTGTCATTGCTTAACCTGTGCGTATGGTCTAAATGCCAAAAAAGTCTCAAATGTTTCTATGCCATTCATTTATATTTCCATTCTTTATTCTATAATTTAACAGTATTGGTACCCGTTAACCAAATGTTCCAAATAATATCTTAATCCAGTACTTTTCATTACACTATTCTGATTCTTTTTTATTCAATTATTATACAATTTGTTTACTAAGTAATGCCTTTGCTTTTTTGTATAGGTTATCATTTTTACTTAATCCAACAGAAAATTCCATCGGTTGTCGCCTTCAAACTTTAATGAACTTTAATAACCTTTAATGAATGAAAAGTAGTTTTACTGGTCAAAAGATTTAAATTATTTGAAGGCATGTGAAATTCACCACTTTACTTTCATCATCATTATTTAAAATGAAAGTTCAATTAGCTGACAATTACTTAGGTGGAAAATTATGTTTTGAAAGTACATGGTAATTTTTTTATCTCGTCATATACTTAAATGTTATAATTGGTCAAGTATCTGAATATTTTCATTTATTGACGTTATCTCCAAATGTGAGGTGTGGTATTTGAATGAACTCTTCAAGGATAACTGTTCATTAATGTCATTATGTTTACAAAACTTACAGAATTTGTCAGTGCAGAACTTGCACTTAATGGTGATATGAAAACTTTTTGAAATGTTATTGGGATGTAAAAGCGTTTACCAAATCACATTTCTAAAAGTGTGCGCACGATCAACGCTTTTACAAAACAGTTAAATTACAAAAAGAAGTATTCAATTTTTATGATAACATTTTTATGCTAAAACTAAAATTACGAGTTACTAGTATATCAAACTTTTTTTTAAAATTTTTTCTTTGCATCGTCGTTTTTATATGAACCACGAGCTATCATAAATATTGATTTTGTTTACGGAAACAAAATCTGTGTTTGGATGGCCTATCGATTAATGTCCGCCAATCAAAATAACGGATTCTCATTAAACCCACACGTGATGAAACTATTATGCTTTATATTCACTTGATAAGTTTTAAAAGAAACAGGCACTGGTGCTACAGACACAAGGTAAGTTGTCATTATATCATTAAAAATATGATTTATTAGTATTTTCTGCTTTTCATATAGTTAACGATTCACTATTAAACACATCAATTCACAAGGACTATTTATGCTGCAAGTATTTAGAAATAGCATACATGTCCACTGAAGCATTGGAGGAAACAGTATAAAAAAATAGAACTTTTTTTTAATAAAAGACACAAACTATTCATGATAAAAACTATTTATGTAAACAATTTGTACCAAACAAATAAATATTTATTTCAAATGATATCAGAATTTAGAAACTTGTGTAAATTCTTCCAAAATTGTTTAAATTCTTTATTCCAATTTAGATTTTATGGATACCGAAAAGATAATGTTCCTTTCAAACAACGGAAACTGTTTGTTAATTCCTTTTTAAAATTTATCCTTTTTAGACATAATTTTTTATTGCATTTATAAATAATATCGATTTTTTTTTTATATTCCCGATTTTGAACATAGTAGATTCTCAAATAATGAGAAAAGATTTACATTAAAATAATATGCAATCGTAAAAAGGTAAAACAAAATTTAAAAACATGGAAGGTCAACGATAACGATACCGTTAAAAGAATAAGAAAATGTATTCTACTTTTTCTAGACATTTCGAAATGCAAAGAAATTACAGTTTGATATGGTTGGTTATGATTGGACTCCATGTAGCAAGTATGTAATATTTTTTACCAGAAGATGAGTAGCAAGAGGTGTTGGTATGTAATCCAAAATACCATTTTTGGAGCTTGAAAACGTGTATTAGGTGCAGTAAACATTTTAATAAGAAATTAAGCACAGTTCTTAGTATTTTAGTTTTATTTATCAATATTGTTATATATACATGCATACATATGTAGTACTTCGGAAAACAATTATGATTTTAATCGAGACAAAAGATGTAAAACACTTATTCACAATTTTGTCCAAGCGCGTTCTTTAAAGGTGTTAGTATCAGAGATATAAAGTGTGTTGTAATATGATTCATTTGACGGGTGCCACATGTGGAGCAGGATCTGCTTACCCTTCCGGAGCACCTGAGATCACCCCCAGTGTTTTCTAGTGTTGCTTAGTCTTTGGTTTTCTATGTTGTGTCATCTGTACTATTATTTGTCTGTTTGTCTTTTAATTTTTGGCCATGGCGTTGTCAGTTTGTTTTCGATCTATGAGTTTGACTGTCCCTCTGGTATCTTTCGTCTCTCTTTTGAGATAAGGGTAAGAAACATTATAGACTGATGTATTGAAACGAGGAATTGAAAATTGCTGTCATAAAATTGTTCAATCTAATTCAACTAAAAAACCTTATTAAAAAAATCTGCTAGCTTCATGTAAGGACAAGTACATTTATTTTTATTTGTTATACATGTTTTCATAATGTAAGGTAAATTGTAAGAAGCCATGTTAGTTGCTACATTGTAGAATATTCCAAAAAGAATATTCTTTAAAATTATTGATTTGGTATATCTTATTATACAGATGGGGAAAATTGTTCACCAGAGGAACTAGAATGTAAAAGTGACAAACAATGTTATCCAAAGAAAAATAGATGTAATGGGATAGAAGACTGCTACGATGGAACTGATGAATATGAATGTGATGGTTTGTATCATAAATTACTAATTTGTGTTTTTGTTTTTTTAATAGTTTGTTATACTTTAAAGGGTGTATAGTTATTCAACTTAAAATTTTATTCATTCAAAAAGACAACGTTGGTCGTATTTAAAAAAAGAAGCTTTTTAAATTACTAGTACTATATTGATAAATCACTTTTTTTCATTGAATCGCTTATATGAGGTGTCCGGACTAGTAGTATTTTAATAATTCTAATTTATTTTATTAAAACAATAATAATGAGGATGGTCGAATAAAAGATAAAAACCATAATTTTTACTTATTGTGGGACCATCTACGGCCTACTATGGGGTGAGGTAAGGCTCCGCATTGAAGTCTGTAACTGCTTACATCAACGTCATTTGAATTGGTTATGGATGGAGGGTTGTCTCATTGGCAATCATTACACATCTTTTTTATTTTATATTGTGAGCATTCACCACTGACCGAAAAGATAAGTGTAACAGCACAAACTAAAAGCTGTACACATCCGATGTTAAGGATTTGACCCGTCAGACCTACAAACAGGTACATAAGCAACGAATGAAAAGTCTTAAGACACAAAGTGCCGATCTAACATTACTATTGATAGCCGCATAGCCAGTAAACATCATTTGCAGTTTTCACAACTGACTTGGGAATAGACCGATTAAGCGTAAACTCTTCTACATGAACTACCACACAACTACAGTGAGGGACTTGCATACTTACATTATTTAATTGAATTTAAGCAATACAATTAAGCTTATAATTATGTATTAAGTGTAAAAACGATTATTCACAATAAATGATAAATGTTTACAAATTAAAGGAAACTATACTTTGATATTTTATTTTATCGAATTCAGATCTGTTTTTGTTTGTTTGGGTATTTACACATGAATGTTTTCTTCGTCTTCATACGTTTAAACAAGTATGTTTTCAAAAAATATGTTCCATCGACCAACACATTGTAAAACGTGACGTACCATTTACATTATACGTTTTGAATGGGTAATAAAAAATCATTTGAACCTGATTATCTACCGTTTGTCTGACAAGACAGTCCGCGTTGAAGGCTGTACTGTAACCTTTAATTGCTTACTTTAACTGCATTGCGTCTTGGATGGATCGTTGTCTCTTTGGCACTCATTCCACGTCTTCTTATTTTTATATAGATAGTTGATTTATTACATGTCGTGTGGGGCTTTATCAGCTCGCCCATTTGCATTATAATTTGGAATTGTATATTGTTTGGCTTCTAGAACCACGGGAATTACGTTGTTATTCGAAACGTGCTTCAAAATTTAAACCGTTAATACATTTATGAAATTAATTACTCGTTTCTTGATAATTACAACACCATTTGAGACTTGTATTAACAGAATTTATACGTATGTTGAGCAATACGATGGGTGTCACATGTGGAGCAGGATTTGCGTACCCTTCCGGAGCACCTGAGATCACCCAGGTTTTTTGTGGGGTTCGTGTTGCTCAATTTTTATTTTTTCTATGTTGTGTTGTGTGTGTCTGTTTGTCTTTACGTCGTTTTTTTATTATTTCTGCCATGAATTTGTCAGTTTGTTTCCCACATTTGAGTTTGATTGCCCCTAAGGTATCTTTCGTCTCTCTTTTATGTTATTTTTTAAATAAAGTCCATGTTTATGTCGTTAATTCTGGTCCCTTATATGACAAACAATTTATTTCAAGTCATTACGGTCTTATTCCTTGAACAAAGATAGGGCGTTCATATACAGTGAAATGAAGTGTATATTAATACCTCATCATTATATCTTGTATGTTATCACTTTAAACTCACACGTAAAACATACGTGAAACATATGAATTTATAAATTTACTTTTGCAACAATTTTCAATCAAAAAGATAATTCTATTCCATAAAAAAGCGATGGTTATAACGTATAATATGTTACCTAAAAACATACCGTATAACGGGTTTTTTCGCCGAGTGTAAATTTCGCGGATAGAACAAAATCGCAAACATATAAATTCCGCCAATATAAATGTTCACATGCAAATGTATTGATAAAATTTTTAAATACGCAAAAATAATAACCGTCAAAGTATTTCGTACACCTTATTCAATGAAAATCGCTAAATTTTACACCCGCGAAAATAACCCGCTATACGGCATGTCGCATAATATTTTAAACAAGTTATGTCGGTCACATAACTTGATATATTATACATATTTGCACAGATTACCGGTTCTGTTATTTTGTACAATATAAGTTGTTTACATTTTGATGAAAATTTTATGTTACCTGCAAATTTCAGTATGCAATGGTGGGGCCGTTCAATGCATGGGCAGTTCATATCTGCGATGTATCCCTAGTGATACGCGTTGTGACGGAATTCAGGCATGTCTACGTGCCGAGGATGAAGAGAACTGTACTGGTAATTATGATAATATATTTTTAAATCTATCATATAAGTATGCTTACTATACCAAATGGCTGGTTCAATCGATTATGTAGACAAAACACGCGTCTGGCGTGCAAAAATATGTAAGCCTGTTACTAGTATCTAAGTTTTATTCACAACCACTGAGTCAATGCCACTGCAGGTGGAGGTTTACTCCCCGAGGGTATCACAAGCCCAGTAGTCAACACTTCTGTGTTGATAAGATATATCACTAATATGGTTTTATTTATAAATTTACTGTTTGCTAATCTTTTGGATTAAGGGAAAAACGAAGGATTTTTAACTCAGGCAAAGAAAGTTCATTCATTTGGGATAACTTTTTGGAATTTTTGGTCTTCATGCTCTTCAACTTTGTTTTTAATCTGGCTGTTTTACTTTTTCGATTGGAAACTGGGAATGTGTCAAAGAGACAACAATCCGACCAAAATGTACAAATCAATCCAAGGCGTCACAGATGAGTCTTATGTAGACGAAACGCGCGTCTGGCGTGCAAACATATGTATTTGATTAGTTTTTTATTCAATCACTTATTAAAACTCCGTGCACATGCTTTCCTCAAAAATTGATTCAGTATAATAAGAGTCTTTTATTTTTTTTCCATTAATACGAGACATTGTAAGACCATTGTTAAACTGTATCCGATATTATCAATTTAAATCAGCTCTTATAGGTAAGAAACTATTAAGAAATAAATCAGTCAATATCGATCATAAAAACTATTTATTTTAATCTGAAAGAATAGTTAAACTTTTTTTTTCATATGCAGCAAGTTTAAAGAAACAACTTTGAATATATTTTCCATCACAACAAACTTTGATAATAGACATTAAATCATATCGATGAGACAGTTATGTTTTTCCCCTCTTTAACACTTCACTTCCACACAATCTTATCAAGAAAAAGTTTTCATATTTAATTAAATGGTCTTTTGAAAAATCTGAATGCAAATATATTTGCTTGACTCGTATAAAGACTTTTTCTGTAACGAAAAAGGAAAGTATGCTAGATACACTTACTGGAAATGTGAAGATATATTTGAAGTTGTAAATTTTCTCCTGGACAACATATATCTACGTTTCGGCGATAAAGTTTATCGACATGTTATAGGTATTCCTATTGGCACCAATTGCCCCCTTTAATAACAGATCTGTTCCTGTATTGCTATGAATCACAGTTTATGGCCAAACCCAGTAAAGACCTGTTATTGTTACATTTGGTTGACACATTCAACAATACCTACCGTTATCTTGATGATATTTTTTCGTTAAATAATCCAGAGTTCTCTAAATATACTGCCGAAATTTACCCCTAGGAACTTATTTTAAATAAATATAATATTAACATCAATATTGCTAAAGGGAAACTCTATAGTAAATTTACGACAAAAGAGACGATTTTTCATTCCCTATTGTAAATTTTCATTTTTTAGACGGCGATGTTCCTTCAGCTCCATCATACGGTGTTTATATATCTCAACTTGTTCGCTATGCCTGTGTGTGTAGTGATGTCATAGATTTTAACAAACGTAATCAATGTATCACTATTAAATTATTAAGTCAGGGATTTCGTTACCATACATTACTTAAAATTTTTACTAAATTCTTTCATAGATACAAAGATTTGATAAGTAAATTTGGCTTTACCTGTAGAAAACGGTATTTCATCCTAAATTTTACGGTAATATTGTACTAAAAGCACGGAAATCAATATCCGATCAGTGTAAACTCATCGACCTTTTAAACAAACTTATTAGGAAAGGTTATCTTATTAATGTTGTAATAAGATCTTTGAATATAGCTTATATTGGCAACATCGATTTTGTCATCAACAAATTAATACATAACTAAATTTGTATTTTTATTTCAATTGGTTTTTGGAATGTATAAATACCCATCCACGTTAATTTTCTATTTAGATAATGCTTTATCTATATTTAACATGCCACACATGTATTGTAATATAACGATTCTTCGAACTGTCGATTCTTTAATTTGGCATTGCATAAGTCATGTCTTCTTTGACTGTCCATGGCGTTAAAACAATAAATCCCTCAGATGTGTTTTGATTGATTTTAGTCTCTGATGCATGATGTTTTTAATGTTGATTGTTTTTGGCTTTTAAGTACCTGTCTTTGTAAAAATCATGCAGAAGGTGATTCATGACATATCACACAATTCATTGTTTTAGTCCTTTATGTTAACAACATGGAAAGATGAGTAAAATTCAGTCTTTATTTCCATTCTATGATATGCGTTGCTATGGCAACAGCCAAAACAACATTTTGCCTAAATAAGTGTAAAAAATAGCCTTGAAAAATAGAAAGTAAAGGAAAGTTTAAGCACCCTACAAATATATTTAATGAATGATTACAATAACGATTTTTACAATGCTGAAAGGCAATGCACTAAACTGTTCAGAAATGTTAAAAACCTGAATATATTTCATATTTTGTTTCCATGGCAACCATTTAAAAAATTGTTAAAATTCAAAATTAAAAAAACACAAAAATCACCAATTTGTAATTCTGTTTATCACCCAAGACCAACAATACTCTAACATGTCACTAACAATTTTTGAAAGACAACATATTAGATATATATAAAATAAAAAGAAAGTGGCGTGGTTTTTCTTCTTTTAAAAAAATATTTTCATTAAAAAATTGCCAATTTGACAAAAATTCAGGTTCCCATAAATGTGCACATTCAAACTTGTTGAACTTCATCAGCCAAAATCTTCACTTTATTCTGTATTTTTGACATTAATACTATAATTGTTAATGAAAATATTAAATTTTTTGAAGTTGGATTGGTAAAGAATGAAAATAAGTTAATATTCGGGATACGCGGCACCCCCTTTTTTTATATAAAAAAATAATTTTTTTCTTCAGAATTTTTTTTTTTTTTTTGGAAAATTAAAGATATTGCTCTTGTGCATATTCTGGACATTTAAGCTTAAAATTCCCTCAATGGTAACGGACAGTTAATGTACTCCTCTCCCTTTTGAGGAAATAGAAAAAATGATTTTCGCATCATCCTATGTCTTGCCTGAGGCTGATGCTAACGTTGACTTCCAAAAACTTTAATTTATTCAAATTGTTCAAGCTTTTTTAATTTTTCAGAAGGTTTGAATAAGTTATTCATGTTTCAACATCTGTTCTCACAGATTGAACCTATATTTATTAAAAAGTTGAGTTTAAAAAGAACCAAACAGAAATATCATGAATATGGTTTTTAATTTTAGTCTAAATGGATATGAAGATTCTTTAGTAAAAGTTTTCTGTATCTCAATGATTGTTTGAAACAGATTATTATTTACTTTACTATATGAGCCTTTTCTCAATGTTAACACCAAACAAATTATCTATTTTTCAGAATATCAAACGTGTTTAATATGGAAAAATAAAATAAAATTCTAAAATTTCTTTTCTTTCATTTGGAAGAAACTTCTGTTGAAATTTCATAAAATTCCATAAATGTTAGATCAAGTTCAGGTCAAAACTATAGGCTTTAAAGAGCCTGTGTCATGTAAAAATATATATCCTAATTATGATTGTGGCCAAGTTTGGTTTCATTTGGCTCAATAGTTTAAAAGTAGAAGATTTTTGTAAAAGTTAACTATAATTTACGAAAAATTGTGAAAAATGTACTTTAAAGAGCAATAATTCCTTACAGGTTCCATTGGCAATGTTGGTCATGTTGACATATTTGTAGATCTAACCTTGCTTAACATTTTGGTGTTACAGTTTACCTCTATCCATAATAATATTAAGATAATAAACCAAAACTGCAAAATTCTTTTAAAATTAACAATTCCGGGGCCGATGAGTTTTCTGATTGGTCATGACAGATAGATCATGTAGATCTTAACATGATTAACATTTTTACCCAATGCCAGTTTTGCCGATAAATGCTGTAAATTTAGTTAAAAACTGCATTTTACCCCAATATTCTATTTTTAGCCACATCGGCCATCTAGGTTAGTGGGCCAGTCACAGAACACTTTGTTTAAACTAAATACTCTAAGGATGATATAGGCCAAGTTTGGTTTAATTTGGCCAAGTTGTTTCAAAGGAGTAGATTTTTTAAAACTGAAAGTTAACAGATGCCGACGTCCGTGGACGACGGACGCCAAGTGATGAGACTAGCTCACTTGACCCTTTGGGTCAGATGAGCTTAAAATATATGTGTTTTCACTAACGTGCTGGAAAAATAGGGTCAGTAGATACGCAAATAATTCCTTTTAAAAAAAAATTTGATTTAAACATGCTTGTTTAAAAATGAGAGTAAATGTTTAGGGTAGGTAGCCGAAACACAGATATGTGTTAAGGCCTTATTAATAACATATAAACATTTTAACCACAATTTAAACTGGTTTTTTTATACGACCGCAAAAATGTGCGTTCGTATATTGCCATCACGTCTGCGTCGTCGTTGTCTGTAGACATTTGGTTTCCGGAAAATAACTTAAATAAAATTTAGATAAGTGAATGGATCTCTACGAAATTTAACCACAATGTTCAATACCACAAAAGGAAGGTTGGGATTGATTTTGGGGGTTATGGTCCCGACCGTTTAGGAATTAAGGGCCAAAAAAGACCAAAACGAGCATATTTTTAGTTTCAGGACAATAACTTGTGTATTAGTGTATAAATTTCTTTGAAATTGTACCACAAGGTTCCATACCTCAAGGAAAGGTTGGGATTTACTTTAGGGATTATGGCCCAAATCGTTTAAGAATAAGGGGCAAAGATGGGGGGAAACAAGGATTTTCTGGTTTCCAGACAATTTCTTGAGTTTAAGTCTATGGATCTCTATGAAATTGTACCACAAGATTCCATATCATACAAGGAAGGTTGGGATCGATTTTGGGGGTTTTAGCTTTAACTGTTTAGGAATTAAAGGCTAAAAGGGTTCACAAACAAGACTTTCTAATACTAAGTATAAATTGCTTTTGTGTTCTCTTGCTAGGCTCCT